GGAATATTCTTAATAGATAACAATCCCTTACTCATCATTTGGATACAAAATTAGACTTCATTTCTTTTGGAAAGCCTCTCCTAACTCCCAATATCAACGTGAAAGGAAGGAACTTTCCTCTGTCCCTTCACAACATCCTATTCTCCCACAATCATACACCTACCACACTATAGTTTAACTGCCTCTTATTTTCTCTCCTAGATCATATGCTCTGAGACCAAGAGCCTAACAGGTACTCAGTAAATATATTTTGAAAAGGGTGACTAAATATGTGTACAGAAAACTATCACTAAGACATAGTGTGATTCACTAATCAATTATTCAATGTTAAATAAATATTTATTGAGCAAAAGTCTAATATTAGGAATGTTGAGATAAAATCAATAGAATCCTTTGAGTTCCCACTCCTGTCAAAGATACTTTTAAGAAAACATGAGGTATATCTGGTTCTTAAATAATAGAAATACACGTTCTAGAAGAGAGCTTTTAAGCATGAGGAATAGACCCTAGGGATGGGGAGGAATGAAGGCCAAAGAAGTTTTCATATTGGAAAACAACGGGGCAATTATTTAACACTTGTAGAGTTAGGCTGATGTCATCAGGATACAAACGTTCCTCTATATTAGTGAAAATCTCTCCATTGGGGTGAATAAAATTTCTATTTGATTTGACTCACCAGCACTATTCTAAGAGTTAAAAGCTAAATAAGAGTTGTTTCAAATACCTTTATAAAAGGTTAACTCACATTTTTATACCCCCGTTTCTAAACCACACAAATGTGCCTTTTTTCTGTATCAACTATTCAACATTTTCCCCTCAGATAATACTTGTCTCATTCACCCTAAACCCCCGCGCTGCGATACTTTTCCCAGGCAAGGTGTTTGCTAATGCATAGCGCCATCTGCTGGCAAAAGTTTGAAACCAACTTGGTACTCGCAAAAATATTGAAGCTTGTTTCCTGTGGAAAGACTTGTTTAGCCCTGGCCACGGTTAGATGTTTGCTAACATAATGGTATTAAGGAACTGTAGCAATAATCACTGCGATAAGCCATTCCCTCTATTAGGTATGAACTTTGGATTATAAAGAGGTAAAGGGATAATATTCTTGCTTTTGTATGTGCACGTAATAAACTACAAAATACGGATTTATAGTATGTGGTCAATTAATACTGTAGGCTGATAGCACTCTGACATCAGACTTCATATTTGAGACTATGAAGAAAAATCACTCATCTGGAGTCAGGAAATCTGGATTTTAGCTATGTGAATCTAAGTGCCTTCAGTTTTATGTCTCAGTTTCCTCAGTTTTGTGTCTCAATCTCTCTCACTTGCCTTGGAGTGCTATTCTGGGAACAAAGTATGATAATGAATGTGAAAATATCAGTGAAATGTGAAACACATAAAAGTGACAGTCGTAGTCATGGTTAACTAATGAAATTGGATTACGCCTTTCAGGACACAATTAAATCTGAGCTCTGATACCATTTCAAGCAGGGATTATAACTGTGATGTTTTGTTGGGCTGAGAAAAATGGAGTATACAGCTTATTCATAAAGCCACTTGTGTTACTGAGAAAAACAGAAAATCCAGCCCTCCAAGGATAATATTCTCATTCCCACGAAAGCCACAGTCAACAAGGGCTGAGCGGTGACTCAGAGAAGGAATCTATCCTAGCTGGAAAGAGATGGCTTCACCACAGGGTGGTCAAAAACTCTACGTGAGGGTCCACACACACGGTCAGTGCAGTTTTATCCTCTGCCCTCACTCAAAGTCCGTATAGAAAGGAAACACAGAACAGATGAGTGGCAGTTCCTCATCCCATTCCCCAAACCACAGTTGCACCGTTTGCTCTGATGTCCATATTCTCACTTAAGATTAATTGTTAATGTACATTTTACCTTTTTGAAAATAAAGGTTTGGGGGAGTTGTGTTTATGACTCTAGTGAACAGTGAGTCCAACTTTTTTTTTTTTAACAGTTGAGAAAACTGGTAACCAGAGTAGAAGCAGCAGAAATTTCCTCCTGATATCACAATGATGCTAGATAGGGATCCAGATATATTGAACCCCCAGCAAGTGTGGGTTTGGTTTGCTTCATTTTGATGGGACCAATTGTTGTCCTGGCTTTGTGGCTCTCTTGATCTACATATACTCCAAAGAATGATTCTGATTACTGAACACCAACATCATAAAACTGATAGCATCCGATGGCCAAATAGCTCCTCCCTGGCTTAAAAACATAGATCACAAACATAGATCAGAAGTTCCATCAGTGATGAAACAGAGAGGGTGGGTACTTGGATGTCCAAGAGCGAGAGACAGCGGAGAAAGTTGGGCCCAGCTGCAAGTAATTAAGAAGGGCCAATAAGGCTGAAAACAAGTCCAGAGACAGGCAAATGTCAGCCACTCACATAGGTGTCTGTTGTCATGGAGGTCAGGGAGGAGACAACCCAGGTGATGACTAGGCATGTGGGCAGGCAGTAGCCAGGGGTCTGGGCCCAGGCAGGCAATGGAACTCTCTTCTATATTAGGCCAAAGCCATGGTCCAGGGGTTAAAACTAGCTACCCCTCCTCAGCGAAGGAGTGAAGATCTGAGCTGCTTATCAACAGTGAAGAGTATTCTCCTCTTACTTTCTCCAGACTACGCCAGAGAGTCTGTGGGACCTTTCAATTTTGTTCTGAACCAAGAGAAGCTCTTATAGCTTCTGACTCTAGACAGTGAACACAACAGTGGCTGCTGACTCTGACCTTACATTTGAACACTTTGGAGGCACAGGTTGGAATTTCATTGAGTTTTGGAGACTATTCAAGCTCCAGAGGGAAACTAGACTCCTGAGAGAGTAGGTGTGGAGAAGACTGTAGGGTCCCGACCAGCAGCTTTCCTCTCTCAGGCCTCCATCTGACCCCTTAGAAGAGTACATGGGACAAACACTCATTTCGTTAGCTGGCTCTAACTTGAGGAAACGCAGGGTGTTGTACTTGGGGTATGATCTCATGTGCCTCTGGACTGCTTCTTTTTTTTTTTTTTTCTGCTCAATGACCATGAGCATATCTGTTTCTGGACCCAAAATCTATAGGAGATAAGCAGAAAGCCAAGAAACAAGCTGGCAACTTATGTATAGATTTAGGTTTGAGCATCCTGAAACCCAGAGCTGAAAATTCTGGAAGAGGAACCTCCTTCCTGCAGGTCTCCTTAAATGTTATCCAATACCAAAGAGAAATTCAACAGGGGTGTCTGAACTTTACTCAAGGGAAACAAACAAGACATAGCCATTGCTAGATACATAAGTCTATGTGTCACTAGAAAGCATGAGCCTAAGCAGGACTAAACAGAGGGAGTCCTGGTCCTTCCTGACCTAGACACAACTTGAGACAGTTATTTCTAAAGGTCCATAGAGCAACGCTTAGTCTGCACTGTTAGTTATTAACACTGGCAGCACGCTCTGGACCCATCAAAGCACAGTGGATTTCTACTGTCGTTTAAACTGCAACCTTGGGCCCTGTGTCAGACAGCATGCCAAGGAGGATGGAGGCACGTTAACAAATAAAAAGGAGGCCTGAAACATACCACCGAATTCCTCTGCTTCAACTATTCATTTTGGAGTCGCTAATGTTTAATATTTAATGGGTGCAGATATAATTGATCATTTTAAGTCTTTGTTTATTTGCACACATTTCAAAAACAGCCAACTCAGCTGCCTGCCTGTTGACCCTGTGGGGTAAATGTTCCTGTTCAGTGACCTGGGAGCAGTCTAGACTTATTCACAGCAGAAACCTTCCTCGTCAGATTATTCAGTGGCTTCTTAGGAAAATATTAAAGTTTGAGCCCTATCTGGAATCACTCACTGTTACTAGGATAACGTTGAGCCTGAAGTCACATAGGCATCTCAGGAAGAATTCTAGGAGTGATTTTTAGAGCCATCTCTGAACATTGTTACTTTCAGATTCTATTATATTCAACACACATTTACAAGAACCTATTATCGAGATGGGCTATGAGGATTCAACCACAAAACTGATGTGCGAAGTGCCTAGCAGCATGCTCAGAACATAGGGGCTAATATGTGTGTTAAAATACATACCACTAAGGTAATAAATATTTAAGCAGATATCTTAGAAAATTCAGATAACATCAAACATAATAAAGTCACCAGTCAGCTCCTGCCACAAAAATAATCCCTGTTACCACTTTCCAATCATTTTCCTATCATTAAAATAATGATAGCTATGTAAATTATATTTTCTAACTATGTTGGGGATACTAAGATAGGTATCCCTGAGAAATTTTGTGTAAAGAGTACTGAATTAAAAGTGGGAGATTAAGGTTTTAGCCTAACTCTGCAGTGAACTAGCTTTCTGACCTTGAGAGATTCTCTCCATCTCTGTAGTTTCCATTTTCACCTCTATAAATGTGAAAGTAGAACTAGAAAATCACTAATGGCCCTCTCCACTATAAATGAACATTAGAAATAAAGTTCTATTGTCCTCTTTTCTCTTTTTTCAACACCTTCATCCTAGTATGCAGAGACATGGAAAGGATTAAGTCAGTTACTGTGGTTGAAACTATTAAGAAGCAAAATTAATTCTCACGTACATTTACAATTTTGATAAATGATCACTTATGCATAGATATAAACACACACGCGTGCACACACGTGTACAGACACAGACTACACACGTATTCCTGGTAGCACTAATTACCAAGAGGTCATATGTAAGACCTGTCACAGTTTCAGCAATCAGGGAAGCTAAATCCACTTGGTCTCTTAACTTGTCAGTAAAAAATTGATGCGTTGTGCCTGCTCAAGCTCTGAGCTGAGGTCAAAGCACCCTTGAGGAGACAAGAAAAAAGAATAAGTGATTTACACATAAGGCCAATAGCCTTGGCACCAAGAGCTTTTGTTTTCTCAGCTCTAGGCCCCGGGAGAGAAGTGTATCTCAGCGGGCACAAAGTGTTCCCCAAACAATGTTAGACACACGCCAAACTGGAGACCAGCCAGGCTTCAGCTACAGCGCTGAATTCCCGCTTGCCGCCCATGGGCGCACACAAAAGGCGAGCACAGGTTACCACAGCCTCCCAGGTAAGGACCAAAGCTGCTATTTTTCATCATTAAGCGAATAGGCCATTCTTCTTCCTTCTGTACTCTAATCAGTGGCAGTGAAACTGGACTGGAAAAGAAAGTGGGACAGAGAACAACTCCAAATTATGGACTTAGGTAAGAGTGAACTCCCTTCCCTCAACTGCTTCTCTGTCAGGAGACAATGCCTAATTTGCTACTTATTCTCTGAGTTATCTGTTTTTCTAAAAAGCTATATAAATATTAATATAGTAATTGTTTTCTGAATATGAAAGTAATGCTTATCATTGTAGATTTAGAAAATCAGAAGAGTCCAAGAAAGAAACTAAGAAGCTCTCATAATCTATAACCCAGATATGGCTACAGTGACCGTTTTCGTGTGTATTATTCTGACCATTTTCATCTATGTGTGGCGTATGTATATATAGCTTTACACCCAAGTGAGTAGGTGTGAAGAATCACTGTTTTCCATAATTAGTAACACACTACACATAATGTTTTGTATTTTCTTCATTCAACAACACATCATGGACATTTTTTCAGGCACTGAGTAATTGTAAAATTGTGAAAATAGTATATTTCAGGGCCATTATAAGTACTAAACAAATAAATGCAAAAGTCCCTACAATGGCACCTGACAGGTAGCAATCACTGATATAATGCTAATTCCATTAGACTCTAATAAACATGAAATTATTTTTCTGTTTAAAATACTCAAAACTATACAGCAAAGCCATATCTGCAAAGAGAAGGAGAGTGTAAAAGGGTTTTGCTGAAGATCACAGGACTAAAAATCAGTGGCCTTTGAGTCATGTGATATTTCCTCCCGTCCCTTCCTAAAGAGTGAGCCTGGTTACATGCGAGCAGAGTCCACTGGCACAGAAATCATTTGATACTCACACAGCCCATTCTATTGCCGGGCATCTTTAGTCATTAGAAAATGCAACCCAATGTCAAGATCAAATTGTGTCTTTATATCAACCCGGTGATCCTAGTTCAAGGTGTTCAACAATACAAAAAATTTTTATTTATATTTTTGCTCAAGACAACTGTGCAGACAATGTAGGACAGTAATGTTCAGAACTGAAGGTGTACTCCCCTGTGTTCTAATAGAGAGCACTCTTTTATCTTAGGCTCTGGGTACTTTGCTTCTATTTATGCATTCTGATAGCTGCAAGTTATTTTTAATTTTTTTAACATCTTTATTGGAGTATAATTGCTTTACAATGGTGTGTTAGTTTCTGCTTTATAACAAAGTGAATCAGTTACACATATACATATGTTCCCATATCTCTTCCCTCTTGCGTCTCCCTCCGTCCCACCCTCCCTATCCCACCCCTCTAGGTGGTCACAAAGCACTGAGCTGATATCCCTGTGCTATGAGGCTGCTTCCCACTAGCTATCTATTTTACATTTGGTAGTGTATATATGTCCATGCTACTCTCTCACTTCGTCCCAGGTTACCCTTCCCCCTCCCCGTGCCCTCAAGTCCATTCTCTAGTAGGTCTGTGTCTTTATTCCTGTCTTACCCCTAGGTTCTTCATGATCTTTTTTTTTCCCTTAAATTCCATATATATGTGTTAGCATACGGTATTTGTTTTTCTCTTTCTGACTTACTTCACTCTGTATGACAGACTCTAGGCCCATCCACCTCACTACAAATAACTCAATTTCATTTCTTTTTATGGCTGAGTAATATTCCATCGTATATATATGCCACATCTTCTTTATCCATTCATCCGATTATGGGCACTTAGGTTGCTCCCATCTCCTGGCTATTGTAAATACAGCTGCAATTAACATTTTGGTACATGACTCTTTTTTTTTTTTTTTCATTTATTTTTTGTGGTACGCAGGCCTCTCACTGCTGTGGCCTCTCCCGTTGCGGAGCACAGGCTCTGGACACGCAGGCTCAGCGGCCATGGCTCACGGGCCCAGCCACTCCGCGGCATGTGGGATCCTCCCAGACAGGGGCACGAGCCCGTGTCCCCTGCATCGGCAGGCAGACTCTCAACCACTGCAACACCAGGGAAGCCCGGTACATGACCCTTTTTGAATTATGGTTTTCTCAGGGTATATGCCCAGTAGTGGGATTGCTGTGTCGTATGGTAGTTCTATTTGTAGTTTTTTAAGGAACCTCCATACTGTTCTCCATAGTGGCTGTATCAATTTACATTCCCACCAGCAGTGCAAGAGTGTTCCCTTTTCTCCACACACTCTCCAGCGTTTATTGTTTCTAGAGTTTTTGATGATGGCCATTCTGACCGGTGTGAGATGATATCTCATTGTAGGTTTATTTTTTTGTTGTTTTTTTTTTGTGTGTGGTACGTGGGCCTCTCAGTGCTGTGGCCTCTCCCGTTGTGGAGCACAGGCTCCAGACGCACAGGCTCAGCGGCCATGGCTCACGGGCCTAGCCGCTCCGCGGCATGTGGGATCCTCCCGGACCAGGGCACAAACCCATGTCCCCTGCATCGGCAGGCAGTCTCTCAACCACTGCGCCACCAGGGAAGCCCCTCATTGTAGTTTTGATTTGCATTTCTCTAATGATTAATGATTTTGAGCATTCTTTCATGTGTTTGTTGGCAATCTGTATATCTTCTTTGGAGAAATGTCTGTTTAAGTCTTCTGCCCACTTTTGGATTGGGTTGTTTGTTTTTTTTGTTATTGAGCTGCATGAGCTGCTTATAAATTTTGGAGAATAATCCTTTGTCAGTTGCTTCATTTGCAAATATTTTCTCCCATTCTGAGGGTTGTCTTTTGGTCTTGTTTATGGTTTCCTTTGCTGTGCAAAAGCTTTGTAGTTTCATTAGGTCCCATTTGTTTATTATTTTTTTTTCTCCATTTCTCTAGGAGGCGGGTCAAAAAGGATCTTGCTGTGATTTATGTCATAGAGTGTTCTGCCTATGTTTTCCTCTAAGAGTTTGATAGTTTCTGGCCTTACATTTAGATCTTTAATCCATTTTGAACTTATTTTTGTGTATGGTGTTAGGGAGTGTCCTAATCTCATACTTCTACATGTACCTGTCCAGTTTTCCCAGCACCACTTATTGAAGAGGCTGTCCTTTCTCCGCTGTACATTCCTGCCTCCTTTATCAAAGATGAGGTGACCATATGTATGTGGGTTTATCTCTGGGCTTTCTATCCTGTTCCATTGATCTATCTTTCTGTTTTTGTGCCAGTACCATACTGTCTTGATTACTGTAGCTTTGTAGTATAGTCTGAAGTCAGGGAGCCTGATTCCTCCAGCTATGTTTTTTGTTCTCAAGATTGCTTTGGCTATTCGGGGTTTTTTGTGTTTCCATACAAATTGTGAAATTGTTTGTTCTAGTTCTGTGAAAAATGCCAGTGGTAGTTTCACAGGGATTGCATTGAATATGTAGATTGCTTTGGGTAGTAGAGTCATTTTCACAATGTTGATTCTTCCAATCCAAGAACATGGTATATCTCTCCATCTGTTTGTATCATCTTTAATTTCTTTCATCAGTGTCTTATAATTTTCTGCATACAGGTCTTTTGTCTCCTTAGGTAGGTTTATTCCTAGATATTTTATTCTTTTTGTTGCAATGGTAAATGGGAGTGTTTTCTTAATTTCACTTTCAGATTTTTCATCATTAGTGTATAGTAATGCCAGAGATTTCTGTGCATTAAATTTGTATCCTGCTACTTTACCAAATTCATTGATTAGCTCTAGTAGTTTTCTGGTAGCATCTTAGCTGCAAGTTATTGAATCAAATTAAAACTTATTGTTAACTAAGAGGTCAAAGTTTTCTAAATATGACATTAACCTTGTGAATAATATTGTGCATAGTATATGTAACATGATTAGCTCTGTGGTACCAGAGGAAGAAAGAACATCTTTTGAGAGCCCATGATTAAAACAAGGTAGACACTACATAGATGTGTGAGCCTCTGAGTCACATGAAAGATGTTCTCACATGATCAACCCTGAGCCATGGCTAAGAGGATAAGCTGCCACTACTTAACAGCAAAAAGCTCTGGAAAGATTTAAGTCAAATGGGAAATTATGGATGCTACTTTACAGTCTTTCATTCTATTATTCAACAATAGTTACTGCCTATATGTCCTAAGCACAGTAATTGGAGCTTCTATACATGCAATACAGTTTAATTATTCATTTCATTTAATTCTCACAGCAATCAGGAATTTTGAAGATAAGGTAAGATGAGAAAGTTGCTATCCAGTTATTTAAGCTTTAAATAATTTTCCCGTGACTACATAGCTAAAAAGTGGCAGTACTGAGTTTTCAAAGTTCAAAGTTAATTGTACTATACCATAGCCAAAAAAATTGTGCAAATTTAAAACTAATGTTCTGACACACACACACGCACACAAACACCACTTTAAGATGTACTCAAAACATCGTAAAGACAAAAGCATACTTTCTCCTCAGCTGGACCATTCTCTTGATTTTTTAATTGAACTTCTTGCCTGCAGTAACTCCTTCTTTTAATATATCCTACCCTTTTAAAGCATAGATCTGATCATAATGATTTCCTGCTTGAACAATAACAAAACAAACTTGCTGGATTTTTTATTTTTATTTTTTTTTGCCCTTAGGAAAAACTCCAGATTCTACTGATTAGAGCTCAACTCTACAGCTCTTCAGTCTGGCCCCTCCCAGCACTGTACTGTCAACCATGGGCAGTCTCCGGTCCTCACTACACCTTTTCATTTCCTCTGTAATCCCTCCAAATAGAGCCAGTCGACATTCCTCAAATGGGATATTTGTCTCCATATTTTTGCTCATGCCATTCTTTTAGGGCTGTTGCCACCTTTTTTAATCCTTCATATTTGTCTCATACACTATTTGCTTGGCTATGTCTTTTCCATTATCTATTTTAAAAGAATTATTTCCCCCTCTCTGCTCTTACATCACTTTAATTTTGCTTTTATCATAACATGAATTTCATTCTGCCTTGGAAGCTCTTCAAGGTCAGAGAGTACTTGAAAGTGAAATACTATTCTAGACACCAAAAGTTTAGAGAAAAACAAGAACTGATCCCTGCTCTTTAGGAACTAACAGTCTGGTGTGAGAAAGACTTGATCTTTACCCTCCCTTCAGTGAGAAAAACTTTTCTTATCTGCTTATTTGTTCCACTTGTGTGATACTCTACAAT